GGCCATGCTGCTACCTGATTGATTTAAACATATTCAACTGTCAGATTACTGAATGAATAAAAGGTTACAGATAAGATGCTATAGATTCATCTGGTTCAACATATTTCTTGCATTACTCATTAATTTATCTTATTCCTTGCTGATGCTTGTTGTTCTATTTCGAACATTTTCCCATAAAAATAAGATAGTAAACTGTCGTGTTGTTAAAATGGACTCGATACCCATCTAATTAAGTTTAAGTGTATAGAATTTGCAAAATAGATAACCTTAGCGAACTATCTTCGGCTGTGCGCATGAAATGCATGAGCATCTGAAGCAAGAACGTCATGCGCTATGAACAAATCTAGAGGGTTGTGCATTTCATGCTCATAGGAAAGAAAGCTGTGCAAATAAGGGTAATTTGGAGTTCTAGCCGCTTTCCAGATCAACTTGCTTCCTAGCAATAAGTTTCAATTACGAAGCTATATCTACCCTGGTAAACTCTCTCGTGGTGTGCGCATGAAAAACATGAACATTGGAAACAAGAACGTTATGCGCTATGAATACACCTTGAGAACTGCGCATTTTTTTACATAAAATGCTATGTAAAAAAGGGTAATTTCGAGTTTCAATCACTTTCCAGATCGAACATTTTCCACCTGAAAATAAGTTCGACTTGTGAAAATATATCTACTGCTTTTAATCACGGTTTTAATGAATTTTTTTCCTTCCGTGCGCATGATTTTTTTGAGATTCTTGAACAAGAAAGTGATTTGCTATAGACAAACCTTGACGTCTGCACAGATCAAGCATATGAAAAACAAGTTCGCCTAGGAAATGATATTTTTCAATAGTTTAATACAGCTTTTCTAACCATGTGATAAAGTAGTGAAGCCTTGACGCTGAGTTCTATGAGATTTTCAGGACTAGGATGAGGATCATACAGATTAAATACTAATTTTGGAAATGTCATTTATTATTATGAAAGATTCGAAAATCTATAGGAATCCGAAATTCCCATGGGATTTCCACAAGATTCTCGGAATTCCTGTGTTTCCGGACTCGTATGGTAATCCAGGGAATTCCATAGGAATTCTGAAATCTTGGGAATTCGGAGTCCACCGTTTCTCCCTTGGTCTTAGCGCCAAGTGTAAAACATTGAATACAGTTTCTTTTTTTTGAGCTGTAATATTCTCAATAATTTACTTACTACGATTAAGTTCTTGAACACACGCTGCTCTTCGTAACTTGAATTATTTATTGCACTTGACAGAAGTTTTTTGCTTCTTACACCGTTTGCCTGCTTTTTCGAATGACTTGTATCTTACTTTTGCAGCATATCAATGCTTTGCCTTCTGTTGATATCTATGTTTGCCTTCTTTTTATGTTTCTTTATGAATTCTTATCAAATAAACACTATCAAAAGGACAACACACAACTAGGGATGCACCAGTCCCAGTCCTGACTGGTGAACTGGGTCCCAGTCCGACTGGGTAAAACTTCGAGTTCTAGCAAAAATACCTATAGATTCTTGTTCTATGTAAAGTAAGTATCATTCGATGTAAGACCCAGTCGGACTGGGTGCCCACCCAGTCCGTCTGGGCCTTACATCGAATGACAGTGAGAATTCATAAAACAAGAATCCATAGGTATTTTTGCTAGAACTCGAAGTTTTACCCAGTCCGACTGGTACCCAGTTACTGGCACTGGTGCACCCCTACTGTGTCACACAACAGTAATAAAATATTCACTGAAAGAGAAAATAACAAGTGATCTAAAAGAAGCAAAACACCCATGCTTTTTCAATGAGTTTCATTTCGTATGGAGTGCGCGGCTGACATTTATTTCTGTATGACTTCAGATGGTTGTAATCGTTGCAAATTAGACAAATAACTAGCAGAAACTCATTTAAATGGATAGAGTGTGGATGTGGGTGTACGGGCGTGGATGTACGGGTGTGGGTGTGCTCTTAATCCAGTCGCACCGGCATCCAACCTTGTATAGACCAGTGAAAAATTCAGCTTTGTATTTCTTTTCGCTATCAAGAATCTTAAAAAATGTGGTGCAATGTAAAAAGACATTTTTTATTAAATAAATATTTTTTATAGTACTTTTAAATTAAAGCAGTCGTATCTCAGGTACTATGCAGAAAAATGTTGAGGAACCTTTGCTGTGTAACATAGGTGTAGAGTATAATAAAATGCGCTGCTGAGAAACAAGTAACGCTTGTCCGAGGACTCGCTCAGCTCTTTCTCGTAGAAATGGTTTTTCTGAACTATTCAGCAAACTACTCAAATAATTTCAAAAATCGAAGAAAGTGCACTGTCGGTGTGTGTTCCTATTAAGTTCATCAAGACGTCTCAGTTCAGCATCTTCAGCAAGAAAAGGCTGGATTTGTAGAGTTTTCATGTTGAAAGATTTCTCGACTTCGAAAATCTTCGGTCAAACTTTCTAAAAAAAAATTTCTTTACTAAAAACGCCTTTTCTACTAAGAAAAACTAGTTCAACATAATTATCACAAACTAATGGTACCAATCGATTCCCCGACCTCAAAAACCTTTGGTCAAACTTTTAAAAAAATTGTTTTTACTAACAACCGGCTTTTTTACAAAAAAAACTAGTTGAAACAGAATTTTCAAAAACTAATGGTATCAATCGATTCTCTGACCTCAAAAACCTTTGGTCAAACTTTATAAAACAATTTCTGTTTCGTAAAAAAGTGGTTCTTTATGTAAAAAAATGATCCACAAAAAAATTTCAAAAAACTGACCTCAGATTCGAATTCCTCAACCTCGATTACCCTTCGATCAACCCTTATAAAAAAATATTTTCGTAAAAAAGTGACCCTTTGTATGACAAAAATGATTCAAAAAAAAATTCAAAAAACTAACCTCAGATTCGAATTCCTCGACCTCGATTACCCTTTGGTCAACCCTTATTAAAAAAAATTTTCTTTCGTAAAAAAATGATTCTTTGTGTAAAAAAAAGATTCACAAAAAATTTCAAAAAACTAACCTCAGATTCGAATTTCCCGACCCCGATTACCCTTCGGTCAACCCTTATAAAATTTTTTTTTCGTAAAAAAGTGATCCTTTGTGTAAAAAAATGATTCAGAAAAAAAAATTTCAAAAAACTAACCTCAGATTCGAGTTCCTCGACCTCGATTACCTTTGGTTGAGTTTTATTTGAAAGAACCCTTTTTGTGTCAAGATCGTTATTCGACCAATCAGTAAAGTGCGGACACACAAGCAAGCAAGCAAGCAATCAGACAATTTATGTTTGCAAGACTCTTCTCTACGAGAAAGAGAATTGTTCAAGTCTACTTGGAATTTTTCGCAAGAAAAAATTGTAATTCACTTGTGCAAATTCAAATAAGACAAAAAATCATGGTCAAATATATCGATATCAAGAAGCCAATACACTCAAGGGGGAAAAAAGCGTGTTTTTTTTGAATTTTACATCCAAAAAAGTCCAAAATCTAAGGTAGTCTTCAACAATATATTCTGATCATATTTTCAAGTGCGTCGAACATAGATAACCAGTTTTAAAGACTGCTACACAGGGGAAGAGGCTAATTCAAAAGATTCCATATTCCTATAAGAATAATGGAAATCCTTGAAACCCAAGCAGCACGATTGAAATCCCGAGAAAACGATGCATTCTATAGGAAAACCATAAGTTCTAATGATTAATCCTATGGAAGTGTCATAAGTCCTTCATGCCTATCCTGTGAGAGTATTCATAAGTTATCATCGCCTATCGTATGGGGTGCCCATAATTCCACAAGACCTATCCTATGGAGATACACATAAGTCCTCAAAGCTTATATTATTGGTTACCCATCAGTACTTTAAGAAAGTCCTATGAGTGTACTCATAAGTGATGATCGCCTACCCTATAGAGCATCCACAAATTCTTGAGGTCTATCCTATGACGGATATCCATAAGTCCTCAGGACTTGTCATATGAGAATACAGTAATTCCTCAAGGGGTATCCTATGCGCGTACTCATAAGTCTTCAAAGCATATCTTATAGGCGTGCTCATAAGTCATTATCACCTATCCTATGGGATACTCATAAGTTCCGAAGGGCTATCTTATGGAGATAACCATATGTTCTCATCGCCTATCGTATGGACGTACTCATAAGTCCTCAAAGCTGTCTTATAGGGTATCTATAATTAGATTTGTGACAGCTTCGGTTCAGTTTGCTGAGCTGATGCTGTCTAGCATCTCTTCAACTGAGCTCTTGCGAGCTGTGGAACTGGAGCTGTGACGCACCTAAAGGGTGTGGGATATGGGTGTGGGTGGGTGTGGGTGTGGGTGCGGGTGTGGGTGGGTGGGTGGATGTGTGTGGGTGTGGGTGTGGCTGTGGGTATGGGTGTTAATGTGGGCGTGAGTATGATTTTCTTCATATACACCCACACCCACACCCACACACGCATCCACACCCACCCCACCCCCACCCCCACACCCTCAAATTTATCTCACACCCATGCAACAAGTGATTGTATTGTTTATTAGCTCGATTGGCAATGAAATTACTCAATCGGTAAATCTTGAAAAAAGACCTCCGTAATATTAAAAGATATAATTTAGAACAAAAATACGTTGCCCAAAATAATCTGTTCAAAGAAAAGATTCGCTATATCATTGAAGGCCTTGCATCGAATTCCAGCAGATAAATCTGTCAGATCAAAAATAGAAAACTTTCCAGTCCCATTTGAATAATTGAAAAGTTCGCTTTTACGAACAACGCGACCTTCAACAGTAACTCTTAAAACAGAAAATACACTTAAAAAAAAAAGAAAACAAATTATTATTACTGAATAGCATGTGTAGCTGAAATTTCAACAATGAGTTTCTTATTTGTTTCAGAAACAGATTTTTGAAATGTGCGTATATGTTCTGCTTCAACTACAGATTGTAGTGATGTCGAGGAAGCAAGTATATAGTTCGAAGCGTTGTTCTCCAATACTGGTGTAAAGATTTGGGTCGACTGGAATCGACATGGCTCAGGTTCACCAATGCGCATATTTTCTTGAGATATCACTTGCATTTGAACGATTTGTAGAACTTGTCTAAAAAAAAATATTCAGAAGAAGAACAAAAATACACTAACTTTCCGGGAGAATCATTCAAAACCATAAGTTCATCAATTCGCACAATTGCGTGGACATTTACATAGAGTGAGTCCAAGATAGACACATCAATAACAAAACCTAATCAAATGGGAACTGATACAATTATTTTTAGATAGGCAATTTTACGACCTCCGTAATAATTCTTTCCATCTGAGAGCTTTAGACGGGCTATATGCACCCCAAAAACGTCACCACTTAATCGATGAATGTCCTAAAAAATAGATAGCCTCTAGATGAACTTATATTCATACATACTAAAATTTGCAGTTCAAAAGACAAGCCTTCAATATTTCCATGAGCAAGACGCTAAAAATACAAAAGTTGATAATATAACAGCATATAAAAAACGATAAACAAGGCAAACATGAGAAACATACAGTTATTGACGCAGCGCGTAAACTCATGGTGCTTAAGCTAAAAATATAAATGACAATGAAACATTAGTCCTTCATATTTGCTGATCAAGTTGCTCACCAAGTAGAACTAACCAACGATATTAGAAATAAAACTATATCCTGAAACAAGATTGAGTGAAAATTCTACTATTTCTAAAAAAAAATATAAAAGTATGCTTTTTCCTCATAAATCTTCATAAATGAAAGAAACAACAACAGCAACAAAAAAGTAAGTTCAAATAAAAAAAAACATGGTAATAGAACCAACAATGATGAATGTTTAGAAATTAACAAACAAAACAAAACTTCATCAAAGAATCAAAAAAAATCAATGCATATTTTTTCCTCATAAATCTTAATAATGAAGCAAATAACATAACAACAAGAAAGTAAGTTCAAATAAAAAAAACATATGGTAATAGAACCAACAATGGTGAATCTTTAAAAATTAACAAACAAAACAAAACTTCACTAAAAAATCAAAAAAAACAAATAATGTATGTTTTTTTTTTCATAAATCTTTATAAATGAAGCAAACAATATAACATCAAGAAAGTAAGCCGAAATAGAACAAAAAATAATAATAGAACCAACAATAAGCCACCAAGAAAAAATGTTGATTAATGACATACTTTTATAACAAAAAGAACTATTCACTTCTTACGAACTTTTCGTGAGATTCCGATCTTCTTCGATTTACCAGAAAGATCTTTAGCCTTACGCTTCAATTGAGCTCGTGTTCGTCGAGCCGGTGGAATTGGAGAAAAATTAGTTATAGAAGCATTTTCTTGATCTTCTGTTACTATTTCTGATAAGCGTGCATCTGTTGAGCCCAATTTATTTAAAACGACACTGTTTCGATATTTTTCTGTTTCAGTCAACTCTAAACATGGATGTAATATTAAAATGAGATTAGTAGAAGAAAGAAAATTGAACCAACAAGATTATTTTTTGGATCATGTTATCATTACCTTTGACTCGAGACTGTGTTTGCCAGGCAGTCGGACTGACAAATCCATCATTAAAATCATCATTACGACGTTCTGAAGAAATACGAGATGTATATTCATCTAATCGATTAATATTGTGTGGGACTTTAACAGATGCTTGTTCTTCTTCTGTATCTTTTTCTATAATGTCGCTGTGATTGAAAATGTCAGTCAAACCTAAAAGTCAATAGATATAAGAAATATGAAATACATTTCTCTTCATAATGTTATTACTTTCTTCGTCAGATAATTGTGCCTTTTCAGTATTTTTGTGTGATATATCTTCAGTAGTTGATGCTGAATCAACACGAAGAACCGAAGAACTAAATTGACGGTCTTTTTGTTGCACATTATTTTCATGAGTCAATTGTTGAGTTGAATGTGTCATCATCGTACCACCTTAACATTTTAGAAACAATAACGAAAATGAATTCAAATATTTAGCAAATCATACCGATCTCTTGTTGATAATCATCGAATAGATTTCGATCAATATCAATATCCATACAAATAGATTCTGAAAAAAATTATATATTTTTTGTTTTTGATACATTTATTCACATACCACCATCATTTTCAGAAAGAGAAAAAACTGAGCCAGTACTTTTTGAAGCAACGGTCTTTGGTAACAAAGTTAAAACCAATAAGTCACGATTGCCATATTCTGGCCGACGCAGTAAATCGTAAACATCTTTCTGTACAATGCCGATGGCTTCCAATGAGATCAGTTCACAAGACTTACGATACATTTCCATTGTAATAGCTTTATTATCAAAACTATATTCTGACAAAACTAACAAGTTTTGTTCAGCATCATTATCATTTTCAAATGGAATTCTTTTTATATAAACAGATGTTGATCGTGAGGAATGTTTAATTCCACGTGCACATAAAATTAAAACATCGGATGCTACTAATTGTTGCAAAACTTCTTTCGAAAGACCACCACTAGAATTATTATGAATTACTGTCGATCTATGTAATTGTTTCATTGTAAAGCAAACACTAGGAAATAGAATAACAGCTGTTGCAACATGATTAAAATTTAACATATAACGCTGACGTTCTAGAATAAAATAAGAAAATAATATTTTGAAAGAATGTTATTTATTAAATATGAAATATTTATTTTCCTAAATTTTATCAATCCTCATATTCTGAAGTCATTCGTCTATTTATAGCAGCATCAAAAGTGTTTTCTATTTTGGTGATATTTTAACAAGTATAAGGGTGTTCTGACAAGTAAAAATAATTTGATAATATCTAATTCTTTGATTCCTTAGTTCCTTGCCCGATTTTTTCAAATTTTCTAAATACCTCTCTCCGATTATTAAATTTACTAACTTCAACCTTTTGATATACTGCACAAATTTTGAAGCTAGTGTCAATGGTATTGTGAAACAGCGACATGAGTGTATAATTTAGACGTGTGAATCCCTGCTGTGAGCCATCGTAGAGACTAACATATACATTATTTCAATGAATTAGAATTCACTTACGCTTATTTTGTTTAATTTCATTCTGTTGAATTGAACATGAACTGTTGCTTGAACCTTGTTGTTGATCCGGTGCGACAACAATTATTTGTCGTCCAATCGATGAAAATTTTAGAGCATATGTGGCATCAAACAACATAACAAATTGTCGCATGTTGCAAGAAATGAGGTCTATTGCACGTAAAGTAACATCTTTCTTAATTCGAAATGGTTGACGATCATGTGGTGAAAATTGATGAGGATAGTTCAAATGAAAAAGAGATTCAACATCATCAATAAAAGTATTATCAATAGTATCATTTGATGGAAAATGATCATGAATTTTCAAGTAATGTTGTTATATAATAAATTCAATTTCGATGGTTTGGATAAATGTAACTATTCAATAAGCATGTTGAATAGCTTTACCTAATCGAGCCGATAGATATTCATTGGTATTTCGTGTATCAAAGCCTATACATAAAGTATTTAAAATAATGGTGCATAAGACAAACTTACTCTTTTGCTTGCAAGTATTTCCCCATAACACCATTTCATGTACCGCATCTTCTTCAAATGAGAAAATAACGTTCTCCATGAAAGATAAAATAATTATGAATTGATCTAATGAGGCCATCCTCTGATAATCAATTTGCTTTTGTACCACTTTATCAGGTATAACAGGACCATCAAGAGGCCAGAATAGAAAACGACCAATCGCAGGATCAAAACAACTCCCGCTCTTCATTCTAATAATCATGTTGGAAATGATATCACCTGTTGAACAACCCTGGCACGAGATGAAAGAAAATACTTTAATATTATGACAGAAAAGAGCACATACCAGAATATTCAATTTGGAACGTTTTACCGATACAGATCGATTTGCTAATTGCCGAATATAAGCATGAGAGGCACGATCAAATAACGTCATTACAAGTGCTTAATAAAACATATTGAATATTATTTAATAATAATGAAAAAGCAACTAACCTCGACAATTCATTTCACCTGCTGTTCGACACATATTATGAGATAAAAAAAGTCCTACATCAGCAAAAGTCATATCTACCTCATCGCAGATAACTGTACGATAGCAATCATCGAGCCCAGCCATCAAACCTGCTTTAGACATTTCGTCTAATGTTGCATTAACTTGATGTCCAATAGCAGCTTGATTACTTGATCGAAATTTTGAGGTTCGATACATAACAATCGATTTTAACATATCACGCAATAGTTTGGTCAATTCCGACTTTCCATAAGCTAAAACAAAGATTCCTATATTATTTATACACAATGAAAATGCAAACTTACACGGTCGTGCAACAATAATATTGTATAGATCTATTGGTATTTTATGACTCAAGGAATTTGCTCGTAATACATATGAAAATTCAAGTGTAGCTGTCACACAATTAATAAGAATTATACATACAGAATCTGCATGAACTGAATGAATATCGGCAAGCTCATTGATGTATTCTTCCAACTCTGATGAGAATATAATACCAGGCCAAAACTTTAATTGACTTGCATTATCGATATTACGACTTAAATACGCCATTCAAATATAACTATAGCCAATATCAGATATTTTCATACAATGAAGAAATTTTTAGAAAGTTATTCAGTTGATTGTATGCACTCTTTTCATTTACTACTGGACTAGACACTCTTGAAACAAATGCGCCAATCGTAAATTCTTCTACATATTTTTCTAGTGTCATACATGTAACAAACTTCAAGCTGGTCAAATATAAAAATTGCTTTATTTTTATTAATGCTGACGGGTTCCATAAAAACTTCCATGGAGGACTCTGAGATGAAAATGGCGCCACTGTTCTATAAAACACTTGAACTACAGAATTCTGCCAGAATTCTGTCTGAATGCGAGAAAAATAGAATTCTGTTTGAGTTCTGCTACAAAAACAGAATTCTAAGCAGAATTTTGGATTAGGTGCAAGGGTAAGTGTATCGGGTCATACAAAATTCTGTTAGTAACTCAGAATTCTGATTGAATTCTGCTGGAAAAACAAAATTCTAAACAGAACTCTGTTTAGTGTTTAGAGGTACGGCTGTGCCTTGAAGTACAATTCTGCTTGAAAAGCAGAATTCTGATTGAATTCTGCTGGAAAAACAAAATTCTAAGCAGAATTTTGATTTAGATGCAAGGATAAGTGTGTAAAATCATACAAAATTCTGTTAGGAAATCAGAATTCTGGTTGAATTCTGCCGGAGAAAACAAAATTCTAAGCAGAGTTCATTTTGATATCTATAAGCAAGTATGCATAAAGCAGAATTCTTAAATTCTGCTTGTGAGAATTCTGCCTGCCCTCATTATTATTTGTCATTTGATATTCAATTTCTAAATTTGAGAAGTATAAATCTTGAATGAATTATATCTTCTAATATGATCAATCAAATAACGTGTGCAATAGAAAAACGTTTTGTTTTTGTAATTTCCAAATTCAAACATGGCTGTTATTTTATAAACGAAAAGATTTATATCTTTTGAGTTTTTCTCGTACATAGATGTATTCATTTTATACCTAAAAATACAAGCAATTATTGAACTCTCATTATTCTAAATAGTAAAAATACTGGATTTATCCATTGCTGCAAAAAGTTTCTTTTTGCTGAAACAATAAATTTAACGAAATTTCATTCTTTCTTCTAAATTTCTTACTCATTATTTGATTATAAGACAAAGGGTTTCTAATGTCATGAATTATGTCTTTGATCTATTCATCTATAAATTCGAAGATTAATTTATTTTCAAAGACAAAAAAAAAACGTTTTAATTTTATTACATATTTATTTCAAGAAACTAATAAATATTAGAGACGTATTACTTGATCTGACGAAATACTACAGAATAGAAAAAATACTTTTTGTACAATTTGAATATATGCATATAATTGCAACATGAGAATACTTATGTATATAAATCACATGTTTACATTCAACTAGTCATATAGTCAAAATATATAAATAAATAACAAGATATAACGCAAAAATTTATCGTTCTATTGGTCGTTAAAACCATATGCGTTTGTTTGTCTGTATATTTCATACATCAGTAATTGTCAATTAAAAAACAACGCTGATCACCTATACGATAAAAACGATAAAAAGAAAAACACGTCAAAAAGGAAACGTAATATACACGTAGAGTTGCGCATTATATTGTATTGAATAATAAAACGATAAGACCAACATATTTATATCAAAATATTTGATTCAAATATTATCATTCATATAAACATGACTGCCGCGAAGAGTACAATCGCTCAAACACACAGTGATAATTTAGAAACATTTTCTCTTCTTTGGCTTGATGCAGAAGTCAATACAAAAGAAGAAAACAAGCATGCCCAAAAACGACTTCGTTCAATCATTAATCATCTCAAAACATTTCATGATCAAAAAGAATGCCAACAATATATTACATCTTGTTCTGCACAAGATCGACTTGTACTTATTTGTAGTGGTCGATTAAGCAAAGAATTAATTCCTCAGATTCATCAACTTCGACAACTCTCCGCTATTTACATCTATTGTTGGGATAAAAAAGCATATAAACAATGGGCTAAACAATTTAATAAAGTATGAAGTTCTTTCTCTTTTTTCAATTCCTTAATCTTCTTCATTTACTTGTTTGAAGATAAAAGGTGTCATTGTTAAACTTGACGATCTCATTCATCAAATCACGGTGGATCAAAAAGATCGAGGAAAACAAGAAGAACCAATGTCTATGAATATTTACAATGTTCGTGGTAATGCAGATACATCAACAACTGAACTCAATGGTCATTTTATTCATTCTCTACTATTAATCGATGTTCTTATTAAAATGAAACCTAATGATGTTGACAAAAAGAAACTCATTCAAGTTTGCAAAGATGAATATAATGACAACGAACCTCAACTAGCTGTTGTTTGTGATTTTGAACGTGACTATAAACCAAGAAAAGCTATATGGTGGTATACACGTGATGCATTCTTATATAGCATGTTAAATAAAGCTTTGCGAATACAGAATACGGAATTATTATTATTATTTCGTTTTGTAATTCGTGATATTTATGAACGACTAAAAAAATATCAATGTCAAGATCCAGTTCGTGTATATCGTTATCAAGCTATGTCTACTGATGAATTGAATGCTCTTCAACAATCGATTGGTCAATTCATCTCGATTAATTCATTTTTTTCAACTAGTGCTGATCGTGATGTAGCATTAAGGTTTTCGAAGCGTTCGACCATTTCGAATGATTTATATCCAATATTATTTATTATTGAAGCTGATCCTCGTATAGTAAAATCAAAACCATTTGCTGATATCACTTCGCTCAGTTATTTTAGTCACGAGAGTGAAATATTATTTATGGTTGGATGTATATTTCGTTTGACAGATATTTATCATGATGATGATGACAAAATCTGGATAATTAAAATGCAGTTAGCAGAAGATAATGATCATGATTTGAAGAAGCTTTTCAATCAATTGAAGGCAGATTTTGGAGTTGGTGAGAACGAAGCTGATCTTCAAGCTTTTGGTAATGTACTTCAACATATGGGAAAATATGATTTAGCAGAGAAAATATATTCTGGCCTGCACGAGCAATGTTCTTCCGATGACGCTTCATTTTCTCGCTTATGTGTCTCATTTGGTATGCTATATAAAGAAAGAAAGGATTATGATCGTAGTCTACAATGGTTTCAGAGAGCATTGGATAGAAAAATTCGTACGCAACCATCTGATTTTGTCTATATCGGTGGTATATACTGTTGTATTGGAAATATTCATATGGAAAAGAGTAACAATAATGAAGCAATGAAATATTATAATACAGCAATGGATTACTATAAGCACGCGAATGTTACAAGTCATCCATATGTAGCTTCTTTGTATCATGGTGTTGCCCGTATTCACGGTGCTCAAAAGCAATACACAGAAGCATTGAACTATTATCAACGTTCATTGGCTATTCAAAAGGAGCATTTACCTTCTAATCATCCTGATATGGCTATAAATTTTATTGGTATAGGTGATGTTTATCGTAGTGTTGGCAAGTATCAGCTTGCCATGGACAATTACAAAACATCACTCGATATTAGAATGAAATCACTACCTCCTCAACATCAAGACATTGCTTCGAGTAATAGAAGCATTGGTCTGTTATATGAGACAATGAATAATTTGAAAGAAGCATTAGAATATTATAAAAAAGCAGCCACTATCTATCGTCAATCATTGTCGTCTGAACATTCAGATGTAATTGGAATTCAAAATGACATGCAACGTATCATGTCAAAACTGAAATAATTTTTATTTTTCTATCATTAGTTGTTCAGTCAAGTAAAATAAAACTTTCTTCAAAGATTGTCAATAAGTTGTGTCAAATAAGATAAGAAGAGTGTTGAACACGGAAAAGAATATTGATATTTTTAATAACGTTAACTTCTAGTTGTTTTCTTTTAACTGTCAAAAGAGTTTGATTATTCTATTCTATGTAATCAATAATAATTATAAACTAAATAAATCAAAGTTCGTAGAGAAAATTTGCTTTTGATTTTAGTATTTTCAATTTTGAAGGTTTTTAATGAACATAAATGATTGTATTTTTCAGTTTATTAAAAAGAGAGAAACTATGGAAGAAACCAACAATTGAATGAATTTTTTTTTCTTTATGTTTAATTAAAATTTGATTTTTCACATGATTATCTTGGTAGTTTTTTGGTTGATAACGAATAATTTTCAATTGTTGAGAGAAGGAGCACAGGTATTTCTCTTCCAACGTTCACGATCACTACTCATAGTAAATATACTGAATAATTCTAATTAATGAATCACATCGAATGTTATGATCTGTTGATGAAAATTATTTTTGTACGCATTCAAACACGAGCAGACACATGATACTTATAGAATGAAATCAACAAGATGGTTTGTCATGTAACTTCAAACACTGACAAAATTGTTTTTGTTTTTTTTAAAATTAAAATTGCAAAGTTACCGAAGATTTATGACTGTTTTACTGAAATCTTTATTGAAAGTCACTCATTTCCAAAAAAGCTAAAATGCTTTTGTCTATACATAAATTTCATAGTCATTGGATAGTCTTGGAAGTTCACATGTCTTGTTTAGCTTCATTATACTAGCACAAAATACTCGAAGTGTAAAATCTATAAAAGACTATGCTACTTTTCTAATAATAATCGATTTGAGTCAACGCTGTCATTTTTTTTGTTTCTACATTTTGAATAGAATTTTTTTAATTTTTCTTTTTACTAAATTTTCACAATTTATTATTATTAGTCTAACCATTAATTTGATGGACAAATAAGCGTGTTGTATACATTCATTATGTCTATATCAGATTTTATTCATGCTTTTGTGTTGATGAGATATTCAATTTCCAAGTAGACTGGATTTTTGTTTCTTCTTCGAAAATTCAATATCTTAAGAAAATATACGTTCATTTTCTTTGAAAATTCCAGGACTATCTAATAGCTACAAAATCTATTTGTAGGATAGGAAAACTTTCATATCAAAATTCTTCATTCTGCCTTATTCAGAAATAAGTGGCTTTCAATAAAAATTTCTATAAAACAGCCATAAATCTTCATTAGTACGTAATGAGCTCGAAGGCTTTAAGGCTTTTTCTTACCTCAATATAATCTATTGGATGAAACATGAATAAACTAAAATGGAGCTGAATATTTCGGGTACTTCCTTTACAGGTCAACTGATGGTATCTGCACAATTGGATAGTCCTCTAAACGGTCAAATGAAACAATGAAGTTTCTTAGTTTTTATGAGTATCTTATATTTTAAATCATTTGGACTAGGTAGTGGGTCATTCTTTTCGAACGGATGAGATTTAAGTTGTCGAATACATATTTTAGCAGGAGCTCGAGAGTTAAAATGGAATCACTCATAGGATGGCGAATAGGCTAATCTCGAGCTACTGTTCTTTTAATCGAAACAACTTTTCAAGATAAGAATTACAGGATAGAAACTGACTTTGAAAAAACATTATCGACTATTTTCCGAATCGATCATATCCAATTCGATAGATCGAGATCCATTGAAAAATATTTGACGATAAATTTCTACGTTAGCACATCTCTTTGATAGAAGCCTTACAATGAACAAAAATGGTGCTACGTTCGATTTCGTCATATCCATATTCATGAACAGATCAAATATTGGTATATCGACAGTCAAATTATTGTACCTGAGGAAATATCATAAACAATGATCGATTACAATAGATAACCTCATAATGAGAATTCTTTTTCAATCGATCGAATTTTTCCCAATCAATATGAAAGCGATGTTTTCCACCACTAGAACGCAGAACAAGATACGATGTATCATTCGAACGACATCAACAGAGCAAAGACGACTTTCGAATGAGCAATGGATAAATGAGAAATGCAGATCATCATGGCTGATGACATGTAAAGAATAGCAGATGATGAAACAATTTTAGCTGAGGATCTTTGCAGCAACATAGGATTGACGTCTTCACCAATATAAATGTCAAGTTTTTCTTTACGGGAAGATACTCTTCATGGTGATTTTTCCAGATCAAAGATGAGACGAAAACATCAATATGTTTGTTCGGTTTAGCTGCTTACGTTAAATTGAATAGTTTGTTGATGTCATTTCGTTTGAGTAATTACGAATTGATACAACCGAATTTGTCGAACGTGAATTGATCTGGATTGATGATCGCCTTCGGTTGTCATCAAATTTGTCGACAATGAGATTTTATAATGGTTCACCATTTCGTATGGTAATTCTGAGTACTTGAGCATTTTGAATATTCACACTTCTTTTTTTAGCATAATAAATATTCTTGCAGAAAAATTGTAGAATACTGCCAGTGAAACAATGAGAAAAATACATATGAAAAGAAATCAAATTGATAGAGATCTACGAGCAAGAGTTGTACATTATTCGAAACGATTTTTTTTTCGTGAGATATGCTGACTATTTTGGTTCGGAATTTTTCGAAACATTCTAAAGCAGACATATTTCTTACCGATGAATTGTACCATGTTGAATTAATTAATCGATCCATTCCTATCAAATACAAAACGAAATCAACAGAAATCTGAAGAGTTCGTCACGAATAGAATTCATAGACTCATACAACCAATCGTCAGTGTCTGAAAATAGAAATGAATTATGTATAGTCCTTGATTGGACACATCCGTAGAATGTCATGCTCGTTAATCAATTGATTTCTTCGAAAGCAGTTTGTTTCTTCTGTGCTTTGAAAGAACGACGATCACCAGTAGAGACATAGTATTAAAAACATGAGTTTACCCACTAGATCTACACGAGTATCGAATGACTGACCATCGGTATCAGCTTGAGAGATGGCGCGTGTCGATCGATGTCATTGCACAAAGTGTTTTTTTGTTTTAAATAATATTGCTGTTTTCCATTCATTTTTCCTAGGCAGACACTAGAAGAGACGTTCATTTGCTTCGATATTTCTCATCGAGCAACTCACGAAAACACGCACTTTTAACGCTCATTGCCGATTCCCTATCGATATGTACAATGTGTCTCACACGAACGAAAACCGTACTGAACTCAATGGACAAAAGGTGGATTTTGGATTTTACAAATTTCAGTTCCAATAGAGATTTGTCGTCCCTTTTCTGTATTTTGGGATTATTTTAAGGAATGAAATTTTTAAGAAATTCTTCAATCAAAACAAAGAGAACTATTCTTAATATGTTAGTTGCATTCATCAGTCGACTTCATGCTTCAAGAGAAGTATCGTACAAATGAATCGATGCCCGAAAAAACCGAGATCCATGATGCAAAAGACAAAAGCATTAGACACGTCGGTGTTTGTATCCAAAAAGCAAAGACATCTCTATGAACAATAATCTTCATTTAAACAGGATGTACTCATAATGGACTTCATTTACCCACATCTGCACACGTAAGACAACAAAAGAGAAGGCTAATAAGATATTCTTGATGGAAAATATCGAAATGATTAATGTAAACAATGATAAGTCTGACAATAGCTCCTTTGTAATAATTTACTTCTTGATAAATCTGGTATCAAATTACATTGAAATATGTTCAAAAGGAACATGTTCGCTTTTGAGTCAATTGTATTAGACTCCAAATATTCGGATGCGTTTTTTTGATAATCGAGTTGTCAATCAAAAATTATAAGCTAAAATATGAAACTGAATTTTGTTGCTTCCACCTTTAAAAGTTTTCGATATTGTCCGTCAATCTCAATTAGATCCTAGGCAAATAACCACAGAGATAGAAGTGTATATTTATGAGAATGATCTTAACAAACTATGATCGATTTGATTGCATCTCCTGACTTGATCATTTCTAACTGAGAGAAAATATATGTTTATTTCGTCATGCACTTCCTTTTTAATATATGATGATGTGCGCAAAAAAAATGGAAGGAAAGAACGCGTCCAACATCATTCTTCATCACTGATAGAATACACATGTCTCATTTTGATTTTGTGTCGATCGCAAGAGAAGTAAGCGTCTGTCATTCTTTATCATTTATTTCTTGACTTCACTAAGTAAAGTGACACAATTTGTTTTTTAACCGTACTATATTTTATGATAATGAAAGGTAAATATCATAGGTAATTTATAGAGTGCGTCAGAAATGTTGACTCAATTTATATAATAATTTTTTTCTAAACTAAAATACGTATGTGTAAAATTATCTCTATGATGAAATAAGAAAGTTATAAGCATAGAAAGTATACCTCACAAAAAAAAAGTGAAAATTAATTATGACTCTTTAGAAATCATAAATATGTTGCTTTACTTGAAGTAGTATTTCTTCACCATGAATATTACAATCAATGTTCATAAATTTAATTTTCCTTAACTAGTATCACCTTGCGGATGTGAATGTGAAAGAAGAGAATAACAACCACATTTCAAAAGAGAAAACACATATTCATTATAATGTCCATGAAACATATATGTATATAGTAACGTTTCATACTCGTAGGCAATAATAAAAAAATAAGAATACGTATTCATATTATATCATAAAGTTCAGACTGTAATCTATGTTTTGAGTTTAAAGTAATAGATGATAGATACTTTCTGTATACTTTCGAGTATTTGATTGATGAAAACAAGATATTTCTTACTCGTTAATTAATTAAACGATAGAAATATTTTCAATGTAGAGTATTGAATTCTTACAAAGTAATCAATTAGATATTTTGTGAATACTTTCAAATGCTTATGTATTAAGACAAATTTAAATAGGATAATCGATCAAGTACCTATAGTTTAGTGATGATAGAAATTTTGTTTTTAATTTGAAACCGTTAAACTCGGTACATTTCCTAACACATGTTCTTCATCAATGCGAATTTTTTTGAGTGTTCAATTTCTATAAAATGAAGTTTTTTTTTTATTTGAAATTCATATTTTGAGAAAAGAAAAACGACTTTTGTCTTTGTACAATAATAATCACACAGAAGAAGAAAAAAAACATTTTTACATAATATTTATATATCATTAATCAATAAAAAAAAAAGAACATAGTTTAAAGTCTTTCATTTTCAATTGAAAGATCAGTTGAGAATTGAGGTTGTACAGAATTATCATGTATTTGTGAGTCAGTAATAGAAAATACTTGCACAGTATTGTCATTAGTATTTGATAATGTATTTGAACGAACCGATTTTATTGTACAACATGTTTGAGTATCACATTGATTATTTTCACAACGAAGTAAACAATCACCAGCTAATTTTGATTGACTATCTGTATTTTGTTGTAATAATGGTGTTTGTTCATTATTATCAAATTCATATTGAATTGTTACAGAATGTATACCAATTGAATGAAAAAAAATTTTAACTTTTTCAGCAATTAACATATAATTTGATAAAGTTTTTCGTTGTAAATGTGCACTAGCAATAATTTTTTCATTTGTTAAACGCCAAATATGTAATTCATGAATATTACTAATTTCAGGAATTTTTTCTAATAATTGAGTTTTAATTTGATGAATTTCAAGATATTTAGGAATTGTTTGAAGTAAGATTGCAGATGTATCTCGAAAAAGTGATAAAGAAGATATTGTTATTATGATAACGATTATTATTGATAAAGTTGGATCAACATAAACTGTCCAATGTTTCTTATTTTCTGGATCATGTGGAACAAATTTAATTATTAAACCACTTATAATAACAACAACTGAACCAAGAGCATCAGCTAATACATGTAAAAATACTCCATGCATATTCATTGATGCTGATTTTTTTGATTTAGTTTTCTTTTCATTATTATTATTTTGCTTTTCCATTTCAATAACTGCATCATTTTTGTGATCATCAATTTCTTCAATAACCTAAATTTAAAAGATAAAAAAAAGAAAAGTCTAAATCATGTTTGAAATCTTACTTCTTGTAAAGCTCGTGTACTATGTCTTTCAAACTTAGCTTCACCATCATTATATACTTCTGATTGAATATTTTTATTTGAATTTATATTTGTATCACCATGTGAATGACCTCCATGTGAATGTCCATGAAAACCTTGAAATAATAATAAACCAATAATATTTACTGCTAAACCAATACCACCAACAATAAGTAATAAATTAACATCTTGAATTGGTTCAGGTGAAACAAAACGTTTAATAACATCAAATATAATAGTTAAACAAAGTGCAAGAAGAAAAACTGTATTTATATTTGCACCTACAACTTCACCACGTACCCATCCATATGTATTAATATCTGATACACGTTTAACAAATCTAACAGCAACTAGTCCAATAATAATTGATATTACATCAGATAACATATGAAATGAATCAGCAACAAGTGCAACAGAATTTGTTATATTACCAACGACAAGTTCAATAACAAAATATGCAAATGTTAAACAAAGCATTGATAATAAACGACAAGTTTTTGTTCGTAATATTCGACGTTTATTGCGATGATGATTATGATTATGTTCATGTTCATGTTCATGTTCAGATTTTGAAGACGACATTGTAAAATATGTACAGATAATTCAATGGAAGTAGAAGACTATATATACTATTCAAAAGGCACCCCCCGATATACTGAGTCATTATTGGTATTTTCTTTTTTTGTTTGTTACGTAGCATTTCTGGGGGGTGCTGAGAAAGTGCACCCCCAAAATAGAAGTCATATATTTTTGTCACTGTTTTTTCTATTCTAGGATGTTATTTTTTTTAAATAAAATATGATGATTTGACATTCATAGATTGTCCATATTTTTCGTTTACATTGAAGAAAGCTCATAAGTTCATCTCATGCAATATTACCTATTTTATTAATCCCTTTTTTTTAAGTAGAAGTAAGAAAGGAAAGAAAAAAAATCATGCACGTCTTATTACGAAATGTCATTTATCGATAAATCTATTAGAAAGCAAGCCAAAATCGCAATTGATGTATTAAATCGATGCAAATAACTAAATGGCAAAGTACAAAAATATACTTCTATTTTTTACGTCTTAACAAAATAATTTATTTTATGATAGAATTCTATAATATAGTAAAAATTTACAAAAGAACTTTTCATAAATTCTTTATACTCAATCATTCTTTGTTGTGTTCTGAAAGGAATTAATAGTAATGTAATAATACATAAATAATATAATAAAAATATGTCTAATCTTTAATTGAATTTCCACATTGATGCAAACATATTAGAACATCGTTGAATTTTATTTTTTCAATATAGATGAATTTCAATATTCATACATTGTGAATAGAATTAATCTAATTTCTAGATTATGGAGACTACAATTAATTGAAATAATATTTTGTTTTTTGTGGAACTTACATAATTTTCGGAGAAAATAGTGAGTGTAAGTTTTAAGTTCAAGTTTTCGCGGCTCCCCCTCTCCATTACAAACAATCATCCTTCATTACAGACACCCCCGTTACAGACACCCCCATTACAGACACCCCCCCATTACAGACACCCCACAAAACAACTATAGTTTACAAGAGATTTTTCACTTTACGTATTTTGTATTAGTTTAATAAGGCTAGAGAACATATATGAGTTCCATATTTCAACCTCCAAAGGAGCCGTGCTGACAAGCGTTTACAAAAAAGTTTGTTAATATAAGACGATTGTTATACAAGAATTATTAATAATACACTTGTTTTTTTCTTTTCATTTGCTAAACAAAACAAATTAAATTTCTTTCCTTCTTAAACAAACATTCCAAATTTCTTTCAATACCTATTCTTATACAAAAAAAAGATGTAAACTTGCACATATTACAAATATTTTATGAAGCATATAAACGGCAAAAAAAATTCATACTATTCGATAATAAAATAAAGACAGTATTCAATAAATCTAACGTGATAGAGTGTATTTGACAACATTTGAATAAAAAATAATATTTATGTACCAATGTCTTACCTGTTCTTCATATCTATACCCTATAGTATTTATTGTTTTGTTATTACGTTTTTAGGGCAGTAATGTATTTATCATTATTACTTACCACTACTAATCACCAGTGATAAGTATCCAAATGAATGAAGTACGACTTGTTTCCAGTCGGAAAATTTTAGTAAATGGTAGGAACTTGGAAGTAGAAATCCAGTGATCGGATCTGACGGCATTCGAGTAGAGTTCTCGCTGAAAACCGACGAATTCTAAGTGCTGGAATCATTGGCTTTGATAATAATATTTCGAAAGTAATAAAAGTAATTAGCAATAAAATAATAGGAAACTACATTATATTTCGCTAATAAGATACAAAAAAGCGGAGCAAATGGTGCTACAAAGTAATAAGTAATAAAAGTTATAATAATTAATCTCTTCATTGAAGCAATAAAGTCTAGAAACTAGAATTCACCTGTATATGTCCATCTGTTACTATATGGTAACTATGATATGAATGATCATCTGGTAGTTATGATTACAATAGTACAAATGACTGTGTAGAGTAAAAGTACACCTACGCATTGCGATTCAAATTAACCGAGAAGTAGTATATCTCAGGATTAATAATACAAAATCTCTATACACTCCGTTTTTTCACTGTATACGATAATATTACTGCTGTATTTCTTCGTATTGTAATACGCCAATATACGACCATTTACAATGGTTTCCAAGTGTACTTGTTCAACTTAGAATGCTTTTAGGAGTAATGAACATGATTATTAAACTATTGAATGGCTCAATCGATTGTTCAATACTGTATACAAGTGGATGTGATGTAATAATTATTACGAGTTAGAGAATAACTCTGAACATATCATTATGATAAACGAAATAAGAATATATGAATAATGAAAAACAGGAAAGTTATCAATTTGAATAGATAATGAATAAAATTTTTTGTTTATTCACTGTATTCAATCATCATTTACAATTAAAAAACTCTAGCGAATAGAGTTACGATAATACAACGATAAATTAAATTTCACAAAATTTCTGTATAAAAACCAATTAATATTACATGTATAAACCGAACTTCATTAGACAAGTGTAGTATGTTGGAAATTGATTTTTCTTTATAAAAATTAAAATTAAAAATTGGTTTTGTGAAACAAATCGCGGTCATACGTCAAGTCACCTGTCGTATTTATCTAGTACTTTACGTAACGCACATTTATATTTAGACGCATCTATATGCATATCTTTATCCTGTCAGTCTAAGGGCAAGTAAATCGAGTCTCGATGCAGATTACTTGTTATTAACTATCTAGCGGTCTTTATAAAAAGGTAATAGTAATGCACCATCCCTGTTTATTATCACATAGTTTTTCAAAATTTCATGTTTTGTTTCATAAAGGACGTCCATCTTCTTAGAACCAATAGATCTCTGTATAAAAGCAACATAATCATGAATTTGAGGGATAGCCAACTAGAAAAAATTCACTTTTTTTAAATATTCTTTCTACATTTTTGACTCCAAAAATCTACATTTATGGTGTCTCAAGGATAAAGTGAAGTAACAAGTGATCAATATCAAGACGCTCATAATGTCCATTATACTGCACTTATATGACTTTGTGCAATATTGATTTAAGCATTATGTAAATTTTCATCAATGAAAATAGCGAGTAATTGATTAAATATTATTATCAAAGAGTAATCCTAAAGTATTCTTTGAGAATTTTACTATATAATTACAATTTTCATGAGAGATTATATTACGAAACAAAGAGTAAATTAAGATTTTTTGATCGTTCGAGAAAACATCGATTCCTTTACGATTCAGCTGACTTCGGAAAGAAACAAATTGACTCTAGTTTCATCTTATGTCAATTTTTTTTAATGATTATAGATCATATCATTATTATTCTTTAAGAAAAATTCTACAATATCAAATTATTATAATAAAATATGTGAATTAAAAAAGAAAATTTTTGAGATTCTATCAGAAATAACTAAAAGTACAATTTTTATTCCAACATGTTGGACTTACTCTAAACGATTGTCATCTAAAACCTTTTTTTCTATAGTAGAAAATTCTACCATAATGTAAGACTTTTAGAAGGAGCGACGTCTCGAATAGTATAGAAGTTCATCCTTTGATTGTTTAATTATTTTTTCTGCACTTTTTAAATCCTGAAAACTATCTCGGTTTTCTGATCTAAACTGTATCAATTTAGCTAAGAAATAAAATTACGATCAATTTGAGAAGTAATATCGCGAAGAACCTCTGACTCTGAACACCGACTTCAACTCGGACTGCGAAAAACAATTTTTTTTCAACTTCAAATCCGTTGGTATTTCCTTTCCGATTCTGGAAATTACTTAGGTGTATCCAAAAGTAATGTCGGTGGTATCTTATTTTCTTATAAAAGGGTCAAAAAAAAATTCTTTTTTTATAGAATTATAGAGCAAGTGAAGCTCTATTTTCCGATCCTATTTCATCACTATCCAACTAGTATTATAGGAATAAAATTTCGAGCAGAACTATCTTTGTATGAAATTTAACTTTAGTATTAGGTGATACTACTATCCATTTCTATACAATTTTTGGTTTTTCTCTGTTCTTCTTTTCTGTTTTCTTTCTTCTTTTTTTTCTCCTCTCTTATCGGGTTTTGTCGCATATTCTTATCATACTATATAAGAAGAATTTTGATCGAATACAAGTGAGATACAATCAAATTCAACAAAACTTTATTTCATCAAATGCTCAAAATAATGACCTTGATTATCCACACACAACTGCATTCTCTCGATCCATTTATCAAACGTTTTTTTATATTCATCTTTATTTAAAGAGTACATAAACTCATTTATAGCGTCATGTAATGATTGGGCATTGTTATGATCGCTTAAATTTCGTTTGATCAAATCAAATAACCAGAAGTCGCATGACGATAAATCAGGAGAATTGGGTGGATGTAGCATTGTTGTAATTTCTTCTGATTCAAGGTAATCAGACAGATGCTTATAAAGATGTGGCGTTCCATTCTCTTGAGGAAGTATAATACGATTTGTGCCATATGAGGGTCGTTGATGCCTAATTTCGTCTAAAAGTGGTTGCAAGTAGTTGTCGATATAATATTGATGGTCGATAGTTTGCCCTCTTTCCACGTGATGAATCAAAAGCAGGCCATTTGATTTAAAAAAGATGGAGAATAACGTTTTTGGAGCAAATTTATGGCGACGAATTATTGTAGGTGGAGGATCACCTTTTGCCATCTAAGAAGCATTTGATGACTTTCGACCAATTTGTTTATGATAGAACCATGACTCGTTGCATTCCGTTGAAAATCAGTAAGTTGTTTCGGTAAATAACGAGCGGTGATTTTGCTAAGTTGTAAATGGTCGGTGATGATTCGCTGAGTAGTACCATAGCTTAAAACAGTTTGGTCTTGCACTTCTTCTATTGTAACACAAGGATCATCTTCAATAATAAGACGGACTTGTTCGATATTTTCAGGAGTTGTTTCAGTAATAGGTCTACCAAGTCGTGCTTCGTTTTCAAGTTCTTCTTGACCTTCACGAAATCGTTTGCACCATAGTTCAACTGTTCTGAGACAAGGAGCTTGATCACCATGAACAGAATATAATGCTTCATAAATAACTCGTGCTTCAATATTGAGTGCAGCACGCATTTTGATATAGAACCGAATATTTTCCGTACTCATTAGGATGGGTTAATGTGTTAAGTTTAATTCGACTTTTATCGTTTGACTTCTCGAAAGTATACGAATAAGCTATATATACAAGCAACTAATGGAATATGGTGGACGGCTAAGCGAAAGAAGAGACGAGAAAAAAAAGAAGAAAACAGAAAAGAAGAACAGAGAAAAACCAAAAATTGTATAGAAATGGATGGTAGTATCACATAATACTAAAGTTAAATTTCATACAAAGATAGTTCTGCTCGAAATTTTATTCCTATAATACTAGTTGGATAGTGATGAAATAGGATCGAAAAATAGAGCTTCACTTGCTCTATCATTCTATAAAAAAAAGAATTTTTTTTTTGACCCTTTTATAAGAAAATAAGATACCACCGACATTACTGTTGGATACACCTAAGTAGTTCCGATATGTCGGTATGAATATATGCATAAAGGGAATTTGTCAAATTGTTAAAAAGTTCATAACAAAATATATCTCTAGCCGCAATACTAAATAAGTAAAGATAGAATGTTTTTCTGCTAGTTGATTATCCCTGAAGATAAATCCTTAAGTTTATGTATTTCGTATTAGTAAAATGAATCTAAAGATAGCTCATGATAGGGTTTATAATGCATTGAGTTCACCACAATTTTACCTTACATCTTTCAAGATTCAAACACATAGTTGATTTTTTTCTCTTTGCTAAATATTTGCTTTTTCAAATAGGCTCATATAGAAATTGTATTCATTATTCCTTTCTCATGATAAAATTCTTTTCTTCTGAATTCCTAATCAACTAGAAAATTTAACATAAATTGGCAATAACTATTTGAAATCAATGATTGACTAATCAACTATGGAGTCAAATGGTATTAAAATGAATAACACACAATCGAATTTCATTGATAGTTCAATAAGTGAAATCGAATCTAGTTTAAAAACATATTAAAAAAAATGAATAATTTATCAGCAAAAAACAGAAAAGGCTTTGATTTAAAACGTTCTGTAGAGACAAAATTTCCACCTAGTTATACTAGTAGAAAAAAATATTTTACGATATATTGTTTAAATCTAAATGAGAAGTTATTATTTACAATAGGCAAAATGTTCAAGTAAATGAGAAAATAATTTTCTTAAAATTAAAAGAAAAAATTTCAATTAAATATTTTCTAGTCTCTTCATAATTATTGAACAATCAATATTATTTGTTCATGACTAATATCCTAATAGACTTTATCAAATACAAACGTTAGTTGACCATCGATACCGTTTTTGTACAATAGATGCTTTCAACATAACACGATTTTCAGTCAAAAAGTAGATTACAAGGTAACATCTAAATAACGATTCCAACGTTTAGGTTCGAATTATAATAGTGATAATGTAAAAATTGAAATGAAATTTCTAAGTTCATATTTGGCAAGAGTGTCTCGTTGGAAATCCTTTCTAGCGGGACAAAAATGAACAAATATGTCGTATAAAAAATTTTCCAATCACACTTGACCAGTTAAGATATATAAAATAGATATCTTATATAGTTTTTCAATCGTGTATATCTAATAATTTTGACAAATAGTTTTTTTCCTTTCATCAATCAAAATCTGTTATTTTGATTCAAAATCACAGTCGTTGCATTTCTTTCATTAAAATCTTGCTTGCAATCGATAAATTTGAAGTACGTCAAAATTAATGCCCGTTTCATCACCAACAATGCGGTGTTTTATGTGTTTTTGATATAAAACTTGTGATCTTTTTGTTTTTGAAGTCTCTGAGAGATGTGATTAACATGATCCATTCAAATAATAGCCTATCCCAGTCATATTTCTCGTCTACTAGTGAAGTTCTACGTTGCAAAAATGGCGTTAACTGACGAGTGGAAATGATTCGCAGAAAAATGCGCCCAAAATAAGCCACCAGCGAGCATAGGAGCTTTAAATAACACTTTATCTAATCCTTCACTTTTGATTAAGCAGTGAATTCATAGTAAATTTACCATTTTCTGGAGAAAAGGGCAATTCTATAGATTTTGTGCAGGTTTCTATGAAAAATTGAACTCACGATATTATTGATGTTCTAAGTTCGAGCGCAGTAGAACATAGTCTATTAGCGGGTCGAAAAGTTCTAAACGATTAAATTCGGAGGCTCATCTTCAAAATTTAGCTATCAATAAGTTTTTTCTTGTTTAAAAATTATTTTTCACCACTAGCTAGCCACTGTATGGTTGAAATAGACAAAGATACATCTTCACTGAGAAATGCGGTGAATTTTCTACGAGTGCAACTCATTTAAGAAATGGTATCATAGAGGATATCTTACTATGCAGCATGAGCATTATGGAGTTCTCAAAGCTTGAACATTTTTGTTTATTTTACTTAAGAAACAACTCAATTTCTTGCATATTAATTTTGTTTTTAGTTCCAGAGTCTACGCTAATTAACCTTAGAATAAGGCCGGGTATTTGCTCCCCAGTACATAAACAATCACTGTAGTAATGCATATGTTTTATTGAGGAAACAAGTGTATAAAAAAAGTTTCAGTCGAGCCCAGGCCGAGCGCGCCTAGCGCATCCACTGAGCAGAGTCGGGCTGAGCAAAACTTGAGTTGGATCAAGCGGGTCTAAATAGTTTACGGGCCACAAAAGTGTGGCCAATTTCGAGCTCTGTTAAGGATTCATGGGTACCTTTATATAATAGGACTTGAGGATCCATGGGTACTTCCATATAATAGGACTTGGGAACCTATAGATACCTTCATATAAGAGGACTTAAGGATCCATGGATACCCTCATATAATAGGACTTGGGGACCTAGGGTAAGTTATTAAACTTCCAACCAAGATCGCTAACTTTCTAAATTGACAGTGGTTACTTGTAACTTCGTAGCTACGTTAACTACAGTAGTTACCTAGTGACTAGTAAAAAGTAAATACGGTAGTTACTTTACTGTATTTACGTAACTAGAAAGTAAAGTAAATATGCCACCCCTAAGCGGTACTTTTATCGAAAAGAATCGGATTATAATAGTATGACTCACTTGTAGTTATAATCTCCTTTACTATCTTTTTTTTCAAAACTCTATGGACACTACAGCACTTTTTCAGCACCTCAACACCACTTCAGCATCACCTCAGCGCTTTCTCAGCACCGTGGCACCTTCTCAGCACTACTCCAACACCTATGAACAAAATTTGGTGCGATGATACAGCACTTACCCCCTAGCCTTTTTCATTGTTATCACCTCAAATAATTCATATCATTAATTATTTTGACGAACGTGTATTTACATCAAGTAAATACATATAGTCAATCGGTTACATTTATAATGGACGAAAGTAGTATGTAATCAAGATTTGTTTTTTCTTTGTCTTGTTTTATGATATAATATTTTTCTAGTTTCTTCAAAGTCAACAGAAGTTTTCTTTCCTGATGTTGATTATTGATCTGCACGAATGGTATGACAATTACCAACGTAATTAAATGAAATTCTAATTGGGGTAACAAACTCGACTCTAACTGAAAGTTAGTTCATATTCGTAAGAAAATTGTCAACGATGCTAGGCCTCAAGAGTCAAAAGCTAATCACTTATAGTATTACATGAAGGGATAATAGTCTAAGTTAAATAATTGTTTATGTTCAGTTCTTGCCATTTCGAAATTTTTCTTTCATAACAAGATTCAATTTTTAATTCTCTTTAAAACTGTATACTCTTATTAATGAATGAATGTTTCCGAATTTTTTGAATAAAAATGTACTCGAATATAAACTATTATCCTGTTTAGGCTTTTTGCAAAGGTTTCAGGTGATGTTATATTTGACTCTATAATCTGTTTTCACTTAGTATTGGTAAATGTCCATTGAAAATGAATAATCTCACTAATTTGTTTATTGATTATTCTGGACATAATAATGCAACTTATTTCATAAATCTCGATGCATTATTTTACAAAAAATGTCTTAATGCTATATAATCCATGAATGTTTCAATGTATTATTGGTCATTGAACAACTATTTGAACACAATGGATTATTTTCTTTTAATAAATTAAACGATATAAAATTGATGAAAATTCTTTGCCTTTTCTCATGAATCTTACTGTATTTATGTTATAAAATAAAAATAATGCATCACAATGCATTGAAAGACTCATGAATTATAGAATATTAGCATATTATTTAACAAATAATGTATGAAAATTGATGAAATAGGTTGCATTATCATATAATTATAATCATTATTTATGGATTCTAACATTCATTATATCTTATTAGTTTTTAAAATCAGTCGTGCAGGCAACATTATTAATGTAAATGATAGCATGTTAATTTGTATTATTATGTTTGAATCTTCTGTAATTATTAAATTTCTTGACATTATCGTTTATAAGAGTAAATCTAGTACTCTGATTTGACAAACTTTTGACCGAATTATAATTTATACAAATAACTGAGAATTTTAGCTAAGAAATAAGCAGCAACAAATCGACATAGAAGTCATGTATGGATTTATGTCGATAAAGATCATTAGTCTTCGCATAGTTAATGCTCAAATTTGTTAGATTATTCCAATTTCAATCAACATTTACTAATAACAAATGGGAATAGATTATAGAATCAAAAATAAGTGTTATAATAAACTGATTTCTTTCATTAATAAAAATCTACAGTTTTAAAAACAATTAAAAATTAAATCTTTTGATGAGGAAAAAGAATTTGTTTCTAAATAACAAAAAAAGCAGATTGAGATATTCCAAAGAAAAAAAAATATACTAAAATAATTATTTATTCTATTTTACTCATTTGAATTTTATTTACCGAAGAACGTTCATTTCGATTTTGTGCTGATATATTTCCATCTGTTGATGTTTCATAAGATGTTTGATTAACTTGATCAAATCTTGCACTTGTACTTGTATTTGGTCGAGAATTTCAACTTGTTACTGTACGTTTTTGAACTAAAAGTGGTTCACCTATTAATTAAAAATAATTTA